GTATGGATGGATGGATGGATGGATGGATGGATGGATGGATGGATGGATGGATGGATGGATGGATGGATGATGTTCTGAGGTTTTAGGGAGTATTCTGATTGTTTTGGCTTAAAATAACTACAATTCTTCAGTTTCTGTCTTGCAGGCATTATGCTGTCCATCCCCGATATGATCAAGAAGAAGAGAGATGGAGAACAGCTGAGTGATGAAGAGATCAAACTCTTCATCAAAGCTGTTACAGCTAAAACCATCCAGGAGACTCAGATAGGTACAAACAACTGAAACCTGCTTCAACCATGTTCCTGCTTTTAGTTTTTTACACCACCTTGTAATCTAGCTCTTTTTTCACTACTTTTTCCTTTTGACTGTCCTTTTGGTTGCCATTTTATTTTAATTTGTAATATAAATAAATAAAATTAATTAATTAATTTGTACGCCTCTTTTATGAATGTCTTTTGCTGTCGTTGTTGTCCACTGTTGTCATCACTCTTTGCTGAAAGCAGGTCTCTCTTGTAACTGAGTCCCTGAGACTCGGTGGGATTCACCAGTAAAGGTGGAATGAAGCTGCTTTCATCACCACAGTCCCTGTTTCTGTCTTCAGGGGCCATGTTAATGGCCATATGGCAGAGAGGGATGGTCACCGCTGAGGTTCGCACCCTGACCAGAGAGATGATGTCATCGGGGGAAGTGATGTGGTGGCCAGATGAGTGGGAACATCTGGTGGTGGACAAACACTCCACAGGTGGGGTGGGGGACAAAGTGAGCCTGGTGTTAGCACCAGCGCTAGCTGCCTGTGGCTGTAAGGTACATCTGGAGTCACACAAAGAGCCAAAAACAAAACTGATACATTTGTTGAACTTCCATTCATTTGTAAAAATACCAGTAATTGAGATATTTAATTGGTTCATGTATTATTTTAATAACCAGAAATTATGTCATGTAATTTTGTCACAAAAGGTTTGACTTTTTTAAACTCAGGTGTGTTTTGGCAGGTGCCGATGATCAGTGGGCGGAGCTTGGCTCACACAGGAGGAACTCTGGATAAACTGGAATCGATTCCAGGGTACAACATCCAGCAGTCAGCTGATCAGGTGGAGATGGTTGACACTGATCTCAAAGACCATCGTCATGTTGATTTTACGGAGATTAAACCTAAAACCAGGTCCTGTTTCAGATCCGGACCATCCTGGCCTCAGTGGGATGCTGCATCGTGGGGCAGACGGAGATGTTGGTTCCTGCAGATCGAGTCCTGTACGCCATGAGGGACGCCACCAGCACCGTGGACAGCCTGCCGCTCATTACTGGTACAAAACGTCGAGCGTTTATAAACTAGGGGTCTGTAACCTGTGGCTCTCGGGCCAAATGTGGTCCCTCCACAACAGCTTTTTGTAGCTTTTACCAAAATAATATTGAAATTAAGATTTATATTTATAACCACAAAAATTGTTTATGCAGCCAGCCTGTGAAAATATGAGAGAATGATAATAAAACCAGCAGAAAACTAACGGATGACTTTGAGCTCGCAGTTAGTTTGAACGTGAAACTTTATTCGTCTGATTTCAGCCTCAGTTATTTTTTACTGAAGTCCACGAGAAAAATAACATTTTTATACATTAGAGACAAAATACTGAGAATAAAAGTCAAAGTGCTGCTCTGAACCTACATCACTGCTACAAAATCTTCTTCTTTCAGCTGTTCCTTCTTCAAGGGTCACCACAGCAAGTCCTCTTCCTCTGTCCTCACTCTGTCCTCTGTGTCCTCTGTCCTCACTCCATCTACCTCCATGTCCTCTCTAACTGCATCCATATGTCTCCTCTTTGTCTTTAACCTGACAGCTGCATTTCCAACACCCTTCTACCAATATACCCACTGTCCCTCCTCTGGACGTGTCCAAACCACCGTCCCTCCTCTGGACATGTCCAAACCACCGTCCCTCCTCTGGACGTGTCCAAACCTCTGTCCCTCCTCTGGACGTGTCCAAACCTCTGTCCCTCCTCTGGACGTGTCCAAACCTCTGTCCCTCCTCTGGACGTGTCCAAACCATCTCAGTGTGTCCTCTCTAACTTTATCTCCCAGTTGTCCAACCTGTGCTGTACCTCTGATCATCTCATTCCTGATCTTCTCCATCCTTGTCTCTCCTAAGGAGAACCTCAACATCTTCATTTCTGACACTTCCAGTTCTGTCTCCTGTCTTTTTGTCCATGTCTCTGTCTCCAGACCATACAACATAGCTGGTCTCACAACTGTCTTGTAAACTTTTCCTTTGACCTTTGCTGACACCCTCTTTGTCTCAAATCACTCCTGAAACTTTTCTCCATCACTCCATCCCGTATGGACTCTCTTCTTCTCCTTGAAGATATCTGTCTGTCCCTCCTACAACACATCTCACCACATGTCCTGTTGTAGTCCAACATGTCCTACTGTCCTCATACACGTCCTCCTGTCAGATGGTTCTAAATCCACAAAGACGCAGTGACGTTCTTTCTGTCTCCGTCAGCTTCATCAAAACAAAGATGGACGTGAAGCTCTTTCTCAGCATGAAACTAAATTATAAATAAAGGTTTCTGCCTTCATTAAGTTAATTAAATCATAAATAAATAAATTAGTCGGTTATGTGGACTAATAATGTCTTAGGGTGGAAGTTCATGTTCTATTTTAAACAGCGATATTTGTATAATTAATTTTACATAAAGTCTTAAGTATTTTTTATCTCCTTTTCTTTGTTCAAAAATGCTAAAAGACCAAGAATTTAATGTAAAACTTTAATTTCTTACAGTAATAACTTGTATATTTTCTGTTTAAGGAGCCATGTTTACTTGACGTGTCCTGGTCTGACGACTTTCAGGTTCGATCATCTCAAAGAAAGGAGCCGAGTCTTTGTCCTCGCTGGTGCTGGACGTGAAGTTTGGACGAGCTGCTCTCTGTAAAGACCTGCAGAGCGCCAAGGAGCTCGCTCAGCACTTGGTGAGTGCGTCGCTTCATACCAGCTCTTTACGCATAAATACTTCACAAGAGTTAAAGAGGCTTTACATTTGAACTCAGGTGAGTGCAGGTAATGGAGTGGGCGTTAAAACCGGAGCGGTTCTGAGTCGTATGGACGGGACGATCGGTCGCTGCGTGGGGAACAGTCTGGAGGTGATGGAGTCTCTGGAGACGCTGAAGGGACACGGACCGGACGACCTGATGGAGCTCGTCACGACGCTCGGTAACAACTTTAAAGAACTCCTGACCGTCGGCTCGGCCCGCTTCTGCTCCGTCAGCCCGGACCGTTCAATTTACCAGAACCGAAAGAAAACCGGACAGGATGAACCTGACGTGTTTTACAAAGTCAAACTGAAAGAAAACGACTTCTGTCGGGACTGAAATGGTTAAAAACACTTGTTTAACAAAAACAAGTAAAACTGCAGGAATTTAATTTCCTGCGAAAATGCAGCGTGAACGTTTACTGCAGAACAACTTGCTGAAAAACAGCCGAAATTAGCTAAAACACAAAAACATGCTGAAACGTAGAACAAGAGTAAATCAGCAGGAGAAAGAAGAACATGTGGAATTAACTGAAAAAGTAATATTGGCATAAACACAGCTAAATAGTAGCTGAAATAACTGAAACTAGCTGAAAGGAGCATTACAAATTGAAATTAGCAGAAATAACAAAAATTACCATAAAAAATTGTATTTATCTGAAACAGCTGAAATTAGCTACAACATGCTAAAAAGGTAGAACAGACTCAAACTAGCAGTAGAACGCAGAAAGAGCATATTTGGCCAATTAGGCTGAAAGAAGCAGAAATGAGTAAACACAAATGTGGAATTAGCTAAAAAAGCTAAAATTAGCATAAAACAGCTAAATGGTAGCTGAAACGAGTGTAACAAGCTGAAAATAGTACACAGAATCTGAAAGGTGCACAAAACAGCTGAAGAAACAGCTGAAAGTAGCTAAAAAATATTTTAGATTAACAGAAGGAAGCTGAAAGAAGCAGAAAACAGATCGAAGGAGGTAAACGCAGGATTGTCCTGAAAGAGCCGAACGTTTTGAGATTTGTTGAAACAGAACAAAAACCGTGCAACGAGAAAGAAGCTGAAAACCGTACGGAAGAAAAATGGATCACAAAAGAGCGAATGCTTCGTAAACAGTCGCACAAAAAATAATCCCAACTTTTGGTCTGCTGTAAAAACCTGGTTGAGTAAAAACGTTTGACGGACGAGACGAGAGCAGAGTCCACGCAGCTCTGGGACACTAAACGTTTAATCTGATCCCAGACACGAGCTTCAAATGTGTTCAGAGATTAAAAACAACTAAATCTATCAAAGCCGCAGAAACTGAACGTACAGAAACATCTGATCCAGCCTCAGTTTGAATCAATCAGAGGGACCACCTGTATCTGGAGCGCACAGGTGCGTTAACACAACACCAAGACGGAACGACATCAGCAATGACCTCAGAGAAGCAGCTGCCGAGGGTCAAAGGTCATGGCAGCATGACGTAGGTTTGGACAGTTTCATCTGACAGAACCACGAGGCTTCTGGACCAGAACCAGACCAGAGGACAGACATTTACCCAGAATGCACTGCAGCACGTTTGGGAGACTTCAGCTTTTTTAAAACCGGTTGTGTTACCAAAAGAACAGCTAAAGTTCAGAGAAATAATCCAGAGGACAAGAAGATGGGAGGTAGCACCTTTTAAATCTATTTAATCTGAGAAAGTTAAACACCTGGATGATTTTAAGACACTGTAACCCACTCTTCCTCCTCCTCAAAGATCGGTGACAACAACAAACGATGAAGCAAGAGACACAAACAACAAACATCCTGACAAACAACAAACGATGAAGCAAGAGACACAAACAACAAACATCCTGACAAACAACAAACGATGAAGCAAGAGACACAAACAACAAACATCCTGACAAACGACACACTGTTGACACGTCTACATCTCACCCGAGTGGAAAAACAAATAAAACATTTACAAACTAAAATTACTGCCAAGATTCACCTCCGACCGTCGAGCTGCTCGTGTGTTCTGTGCCGACAGCAGAAAACAAACAAACAAACAAACAAACAAACAAACAAGCGTCAGCTGAGCACACAGACCGCTCCGTTAACGGTTTGTTAATCTTATAAATCAAATCTGCTACAAGAGCTCAGGAGCGTGTCCTCGCAGGCCTCCGGTCCTTTTGACTCCATTTATTTTTGTTTGTGGAGGTAAACAAGATAAATAAATGATGTCAAACAAACAACAAACGCAGCAGGAGCTCCTGAACTCAGACGTTTCTCGGTCAAACCAGATCTGCTCCGTTCAAACGAACGTGAAGTTCAACGTCTCACAGAAACATTTAACAACGATTTAATTTAGTGTGAACTGAACAAACTGCCCGTTGTTTCAAAATAAAACTAATTTGTATTTTCTGACAACTTCATGTAAAAATTATTTTAAACTCGTTGATCGTTTTTAATTAAATTATTATAAACAAGAGCTTAAAAGTTTGTTTTATTTCATCCTGAATGAAGACTTGAGGTTAAAACTAACATTTTTAAGCTTCACGTGAAAAATAATTTTATAAGAGCTGGAATAAAATAATAAGTTATAAAAACAAACTTTATCCTTTGAACTTACTAGAAGACGAGTCGTCTGTGGATTCACGTGGACCAAGAGTCGAGCGGAACAGAAAGAAAACTATAATTAGACACTAAAACTGTTTGAAAGTGAAATAAGAACAAACAACTGCACAAATAATAAATTACATTCTCTAATTTAAACTGAATGTTGCTTTATTGTTTAAATAAATATTTTCTAATTCAATCAATTCTAAGATTTGACTCGAATAAACGTCCTTAGAATTAAAAGAAAAAGTGAGAATTTAATCTCCTACAATTGTAAATGTTGGAATAAAAACTTTTCTGTAGAAATAAATATATTAAAACTGATGCTTTTTAATTTAGTTATATATATTTTTAATTAGTAAAATGACTTCAAACATCCCTCACTTTTGAAATTAAATTGACCAGAGAATTTAAAAGTAGAAACAGGACATAAATAATATATACATAAAAATTTTTTTTATATATATATATATATATATATATTTAGTAAAACAACAATTTAATTATTTTGTTGAGGTTTATATTTATGTTTTACATGTATGTTTACCAGGCAACTAAAAATGCAGAATACAAATTTTAATTCAGCAACAAAAGAAAGAAAAAATCATGTAAACAAACAGGTTATCTTGACTTATTTACTGCAACACATTAAAAATAAATTAAGACAAACAAATTAATTTACTCACATTTCCACTGTTTTCCCTGAAAACGCAACTTAATTTAGTTAAAAAAATTTTTTTGATTAAACTGATATTTTCTCCATGTCATGCTCAATAAAAGGAGCCATTTGTAAAACTTTGTAAATGTTATTACAGAAAACAAACCATTATTTTACTTTAAAAACAGAAAACTTTAAAGTTGACCACGTGACTGAATTCATTCACTTCGGCTGTTAACGGTTAGCTAATTAAGCTACATGAATTTAAATATTATTTTTGTTATGTATCCGGTAAATAAATCGACATAACTCACACAAACGGAATAAAAACTTACAGTTTCATGTTGAATTGATGAGAAAAAACCGCGGTGGACTTTAAATTTTGACACAAAACACTAATTTCAGGAGATAGCATCATTAGCATCTTTGGCATCATTAGCTTTCGCTGCGCAAAGCTCGTGTGAGTAGTTCAAGGACACTCGGAAAGCAGAGTGTTTTTGGTGGGTTCCTATTCTTTTTACTCGAGGTTGCCTTCAGCGTTAGATAAACTGCATACTAAAGGAGTCATGGAAATTGCAGGAAATTATTGATACATAACTTCAGAAACGTATTGTTGATTGCAAGAATGTTTGAGTTTTTATGTTTGAAGCTAAAATCGCACTAAAATACAAAACTCACATAAAACGGGAAAAAAATCTGATTGATACAGAAAATGAAAATTAAGTAATCTAACAAAGAAATACAGTTGCTTTATATATATATATATATATATATATATATATATATATATATATTTAAGTTGAATTAACATGTATGTTTATGAACTAACTTTTAAAATATAATTAATATGTCATGTTTCGTGTTTCCGTCAGGCAGCCTGCTCCTGAAGATGACTGGCATCGCTCCCAGCCTATCAGAGGGCAGCAAGCAGATTTCCGATGCTGTGATTGGTGGAACTGCTCTGGCCAAATTCGAGGCCATGATGGTCGCTCAGGGCGTTACCATGGAGACGGCCCAGTCGCTTTGCTCCGCCCACACAGATTACTACAGCATCCTGAGGAAATCTGAGCACCAGATGGAGTTGCAGGCACGTGCACAAGGTAAAGACACGCACGTTCAAAGTCACGCAGCTTTAGTAATGTCGGATTTGTTTTGCTACAAAAGTTCTGTATTGTTAGGAAGCGGTTGTTATTCTGAAAGGACACCGCCTGTTTAACGTGACAGCTTTTTATTTTTTTTTTGTCGGACAGTTTTGAACTAAAGGGTTATTACATAAAACATGAATTAAATCTTTGCAAACAATTTTAAGTCTGAGTAAAATATAAAACCCCGAATAATTTAGTTCACCAGAAAAGAAAGGTAAGTATGGCAATCAATTAGCATTTATTTAAGTTGTTTGAAATTTGTCATGTCTTAAGATGTAAACAAGCAGTCGGAGTAAAGTATTGTACTTAATGATCATGCTTTCATATGTAAAAATAACTCTGCTGTTTGAGCTTTTATTTTCATTTTATTTTATTTTATAAATGTTTCTTTTTGTTTGTTTGTTCCTGCAGGTTTTGTTCTGGACATCAACGGTTTGGTTTTAGCTCAGGTTCTCAATAAATTGGGGGCGGGGAGATCAAAGGCGGGGGAGCCTGTCAATCACAGTGTGGGGGCGGAGCTGCTGGTGTCACCGGGTCAGAGCGTGAGGACAGGTGAGAGTGTGATCACATGACTACAGCTGTGATCATAAGACAAAAGGGACGGAATCACCACTTTCCCCGTCTGGACCCAAAAGGCCGTTTCATAAGTCCGGATGCCGTAAAGCAGAAAGTCCTGCCAGAACGCTGTTTTAGAACCGCCACAGCAGAAACTACAACTTTATGTTTTTGTCATTGAACACTTTTTTAAATTATTTTATGTTATACAGCATTCAATCACAAAATCTTTATTTTTCCACATTCAGAAGTTGGTCTTAAAACAGCGGGAAAAATGCAGCGTTCTGGCGGGATTTTTGCCGTAGCCTCCTTCACGGCGTCCTGACTTACGAAACGGCGTTTTTTGTGTGCCGGACTCGTGCTAAACGTGGCGACGTGCGTCACTTTTGGCTTTCCATATCATCACTTGATGAACCGATGTGGTTTCAGGCGAGTCCTGGTTGCGGCTTCATTACGAAGATCCCGCTCCGACCCCGGAGCAGATCGACCGGCTGCAGAAAGCGCTGACCGTCGGAAACAACGACAAACAGGCCGGAGTCCGACGCAAACTGGTGGCAGAGCTGATACTTCCTGACTGAACCTGATGCTTTCATTCGTTACAGGCCGCTTTGTTCACACACCGATGTATAAAAGATGTTTATATATGAAGTAACCCAGTGGTATTTTTAAATGATGATAAAAAATATATATACATACTGCAAATAAAGATGTTCTTCCTGAAACACATAAACAAAAAGTTTTATTAAAAATGGACACACACACATGTTTGAATTGTGTTCAACTTTTAAAACAATGTTAACAGAGAAGTTTGCAAACATCCCCTCTACTGGCCAACAATAAAACCACGTGAAGCACATGGCGTCAGACGGCGGGATTGCTTCATTTTTTATTTCTCTACGTGTTTAAAGTGCACTTTTTGCTTCCAAGAGTGACATTTCTGTCAGAAATATTCTGGTTCTAAAGAGAACAGAGCTTAACAAGAACAAGATGTTGATAAAAGTGTAATTTAAACAAATAAAAAATATGTAATTCAATGTCAGTATGTCAGTAAAGCCTTGAGAAATAAGTATTTGATGTTTAGTCAAATGGAATCTAATTGATACAACCCGACGTTCGTAGAAACAAAAGTAGCCGAACTCATTTAACTCTTCAGTATGGGCTTTAAATTAATTATTTGCTCACTAATTTTATCAAACCTGTAGCTACCATTTTAAATTAGCACATTAGCTAAAACCAGCAAAACTAATAAGAGCAGTTAGCTACTTTTAGCTTTAAGCTAATGTTTAACTACTGTTCGGATCTAGCAATCGGTTACATTTATATTTTAGCTAGTAGCTACCCTGCTTCTTTAGCTAGTTTTGCTCCTTTTTGCTGTTTGAACTTTTGGCAAGTTTCATATCAACTTGTATCTGTTAGTTTCTTTTTTATTTTACTTCAGTGTATTGAATATATATTATCAAATACAATTGATTTATAGTATTGTATTATTATTACAGTATTATTATAATATTTGATAATAACAGCAGCACTGGGTCTGAACTCATTAATAAAATTCAGTTTTCATGTTAGTCAGCTTTGGTGAATCAATTTGCAACTTTTTCCTCTTTTAATTTATTTCACATTTGTTTTGTCGCTTTATTATTATTTTCATGAATCTCTTTGTTCGCACATTAATTACGTTTAAAATATGTTTTTATATGTGTAGAAACTAAAAAGTGAATTCTCCCTGTCGGGGAATTGAACCCGAGAAATTTCTGCCAGGACCGGGACTCGAACCCACATCCTGATGTCATGTCCCGTTTGAAAGATGTTGATGTATTACACCAGACGTGGCTGGCCCTGACGACACAGTTGTTTATTGTCGAGCTAAAACTGTTGCTAAGGCTTTCCAGTTTTTGCAATCTGCCTTTGACATCATCCAGTCGGACTTGTTCCACCTCAAACTGGTGAGAAATACAAATAAAACCAAAGAGATGTTTTTTTCAAATAGGAAGTTGGTCCCAGCAGTTCTTCCTCTGATTTTATCCTCAAATGGTGTCCCCATTGAGTTTGTTGATTCCTATAAATATTTGAGTATCTTGGTCGACTCACATCTCTCCTTTAAGCTCCATGTGGAAAACTTGGTAAAGAAACTGAAAGTTAAACTGGGTTTCTTTTTCAGAAACAAATCCTGTCCAACCCTGAATGCTAGCCCACGGTCCTCGCTCAGTCCTCTCCGGGTTAATGCTCAGGTTTTGTTCACGGCGAGGAAAGAATGAGCGCGAGATCTACAGACCGGTACAGCTTCGGCTGTATTGTGGACGCTGTGCTGGTCCATTGAGGTGAAGAAGCTGAGCTGTAAAGGGAAGTTCTGTACCTGCCGATCTACATTCCTGCCCCCACCTGTGGTCCTGAACTCTGGGTGGAGACAAAGAACCAACCTGGGAGGAAACTAAATGATACAAGATTAAAAACTTAAAGCATCAAACTGTTTTTTTTTCTCCTGATGCATGTTCAATAATCAATTGTTTTTTTTTCTGTTTTTTAGTAAATTAGATGTAAAAGAAAAATTTTGGCTGGTTGAGCTGCAAAACAAATTAAAGACTCAACTAAAGTTTTAATGTTTGATGTGACTCAAAATGCCTTTTAATAAAAAACAAAAAAAATTAACTATATCCTCAGACAAAAACATTAACATCAAACAAATTTCTAAATGCATTAAAAGCAGGAAACAGGAGTTTAACAAATAAACTTTAATAAAATGATCTAATAAAAAAACAATGAGTGAATCCAACATCTATCAACTTATTTCCTTATTTATAAAAACTTTACAAACACAAACAGGAAGAGGGACCAGAGTCGTCATTTACAAATCGCCTTCATCTCACTGATCTGACAGAAAACAGCTGAGGCATCAGTTGCCACGGAGACGACGGGGGTCAAAGGTCAGTGTACGACAGAGTTGAGCGGCTCGGCTCTGATGTTTCCTAAATCCAGCGTGGAGTCGGTCTCCTCGTCGATCTCACCAATCACAGCGCTGAAACAAACAATCAATAATAATCTCACAAATAAATCTGAAGACTTACTGAGAATTAATGCGACTAAAGGTTTTTTGTTATTTAATCCAGAATGTTCCGTCTAAAAGCGCAGCTTCTGTAGATACGGGTCTTTCTGATGAATGGATGGATGGTGAGACTCACACGTTGTCTCCTCGGACGATGTAGAGTCCCAGAACCACCTGCTCCACGCCCTGACTGGAGCTGAACACCCGCTCGTGACTCTCATCCAGGATCAGGTTGATGGTCTGATCGAAGCCCTTCAGAGTGCCCTAAACAAACAAACAAACAAACAAACAGCATCAAGCTTCAGAGGTGATAATTTAAAGAATCTGGAAACATTCAGAGGATTAACATCTTGTTCATAGTCTGCTGACCCTCCAGGTGAAGGAGTTTAAACTCACCACGATCATCCTGCCGTCTGAGGTGACGATGGCCACGGTGCCTGAACCAGCAGCAGTCAGGGAAACTTTTCTGAACACTTCATTCACAACAACAGTCAAACGAATCACTAATACACTGACGTTAGTACTTTTCAGGTTTACTATTAAAAATAAAAATATTGAAACCTTCTACTAAATTCACTCCTTCCTCTTGTCTTAACTCGTGTTTCTTTGAACTCCCTCTAAAGTGCAGTAAACTAACAAAAAACATTTTAGTTAGCTCGCTAAGCTAACTAGCATGTTCTCGTTCATTCAAACGGGCAGTTAGCATGCTAACAAATAGCAGGATACGGTTAATGTAGCTTTCCAGGGCGGTGGACATTTCCGTCAAGGGTTCGGTGGTTAACGAGACAGAAAAAAAGCTCGGTAGGTTATCTCCAGCGGTTATCTGTCCGTGTCACTGTGCAGAAAATTGAAACAGATGCAGCAGCTAACAGAAAACACACCGGAGATGACAAATCGAACACAGAGCCACCGATTGTGACGTCACATCCGGTTTAGCTGCAGTTACTAAGCGCAAAATGTGATTTTTACGTCTTACAAAGCAAAAAAACCTTTTACGATATTTAAAAAAAAATCATATCCAAACTTGTTTATAAACAGAAATGAAATATTCTGCTCATTACACAACGTTCTTAAACATAAATTAAGGTCAAGATGGCCGCCGGAAGTTACTTACTTCATCCTTTTTTTAAAGAAAACTTTATCAAACAAGTATAGACAATTATTAATTACACAATTGTGTAAATCTAAAAAGGGCATAGTAGAGGCAGACTTAGATATATATATATATATATATATGCTTTATAATTAAAATTAACTTAATATTTCTATGTGATCTAACCCACTTTTTTATGGTTTTATGTTAACATTTAGTTTTTTAGCAGTATGGAAATAACGGTAGATTTACAAGTCAACAAAATAAATAAATCCAAAACCCAAACATCAGAAGCATAAAAATAAAAATCTGTTGATTAGATCACATGAGAGAACCAAGTGAAACAAACCATTTCTGTCTCCTGAAGATCTTCTTCTTCTGACTGGTCAGATTCTGTAAGCCTGCTTGTGTTGCCTGAAACATAAATTATTAATAAATACATTTGTCTTGGAGGTTAATTTAACAGTTCAAACTTTTGCTAAGTTTAATATGATTAAAGGCACGTTATCTACGAGACACAAAAGATGATTAAAAACCAAACACGTGTGCGCTAACATGAAATAGACGGAGCCCAGTCCTCAGGATGTTTTCATCTTTATTGTTGCTCAGTAGTGGTCCATACAAAGAGGGGTGGGGGGGTGGGGGTGGAGAACAGTGGAGCCCGACAGGACAAACACCAGGAACGTCATGCTACCAAAGTATTAAATTTGTACAAAAATACTTTACAACATCCCTGTTCCTTTAACGAAAAAAAAGTTTGGTTGGTTGGAGAAGCTACATGAAAACTAATCTGACCCACTATTTCAAACGGCAGTGCAGTGCACGTGTAAATGTGTGCATCTGTGTGCAAATCACTAAAATGGTACACACACACACACTGATAAACACACTTCAACACACGCACACACGACACAAGCACAGTGTATGGCTTTAGATCAGTCATTAAACCCTCCTGAGGCCACGCCCCTCAGCTCTGTGTGCGTTCCTATTGGTCGAGCAGTTTGTGTTGACCGAGCGCAGTAATGTTAGCAACGCTAAAAAGCAGCCGAACGTTTGCTTCTCTCCAGATGTGTCACCAGAAATAGAAGGATGTGTTTGAAGCTCGGACTGCTGCTCTCTGGCTTTCTCAAGTTAAACTGAAAAACACAAAGTTCAAAGTTCATTCAAGCTGAACTCACATGCAAATCCACTTTCTATGATCCCTCCCTCCTGAGGGTCAGTAGTTGTTGTCCTGGTCCACATGAGAGAGGTTCTGGTCACTCACGTGAAGGTTAATATTGGAATAAAGCCGAACACCTTAGTGACATAAAGTTTCAACCCTCAGGAGAGAGGGAGGGGAGAGTGGTTTGCATGTGAGTTCAGCTTCCAGAAACAAAGCAAATCAGCCGTTTTAAAGCTCGGAGCTTCGAACTTCAGTTTCACTTCAGAAAGATCCTCGACTCAGATGACCATTAGCATGTCAAAGATAAGCTAGAACTTTATTGATCCCACAGGAAACTCTAGCACAACAACTTCCTGCGGGATCAATAGTTCTAGCTTATCTTTTCTAAAGTCTCGGCTGCTCTTGTGGTGGGCGTTGTGTCCGTTTTCAGAAAACAACCTTTTCTTACATTTGGATAAAAATAAATCTTTGAAAGTGGCCAACGTAATGGAAACACACCTACATTTATTTTACCCAGAATGCATCAGTTTAGCATGGCTATAAAACACCTAGCAGATGCTAGCTCGGCAGCTCAGTCCTTTAACTCAGGCAACAACAAATGTAGTGAAAAAGTGTAAAGAACGTTTTGTTTCACTGCTGAAGGATTGTGGGTGTTTTGAGAACTGATGAAACAGAAACATCCACGAAACTTCAAACCTTTAATAATTCTCACAGACGTCGTCTCCTAGATGAAGATCCTTCCATTAGTTCCTGTGCTAGCCGTATGCTAGCTTACAGCTGTGTTAGCCAAGTGTAAACATATACCGATAATCACTGCACGTAGCGGACGTTAGCCCTGTTAGCCTTGTGCGAGGTCTGTGCCGGCCCTGGATCAGCCATGTGCTGGTCAAACATTTTAAAGGTGGTGAAAGTTGTTCTGATCCGTTTGTGTTCTGGTTCTGCTGTGCTCAGTGTCTGCTAGCCGCTTGCTAACCATATGCTAGCAGTGTGCTTAAACTCCCACCCATCACAGTTCTGAGTATTCAGAGCAGCAGAGAAGCTGTCGGTGCTGAGGGAGGGTTCTGATTGGCTGTCGGTGCTGAGGG